GGAGAATGGCAAAACTCACTGATGATGCCGGTGAAACGTTTGAGAATGTACCAAGTCCACTGTCTGATGCTGGGAACCATAACAACTACTATGGCAGACGACTTCGGACTAGGTGTGTTCTCCTAAGTCACCCTGACAAGACCAGGTTGCGACAACGAGGTCGACCCACTTCTATAAATCGATAGGATACTGCGACCATACCAGAGGCCACAACATCTTGGTCTTCATATCTTCAATTAACGAGAGCAAGTTTATATATTAGAACGCACCATTTGGTGAATACTTGAACCTAGGTCATAAAACAGTAAAGAAATGTCTAAAAAGGGATATAGTATACTTATACATATCACTCATCAGTTGTATGATGAGCCTCCAGGAAAAAAAACGGTTTGCATATCAAGAAACCTATAACAAGTTTAGTCATTTTAGTATGAAATCTGAAGAAACGATTACAGTAAAATTTTAGCAGCCATCGGGAAAATTGAGAATAAGGAAGTGTACTCCAAAGAATATTGAAGTTATTGGAGTAATTTATTTAAATGCACTGCCAGGTATCACAAAACTATTGACTAAATGTGGATGGACATGGTTTAGGTTTTCCATATATCCCAACAACAAAAACCCTTTATTCCATCTGTTAATTGATTTTCATTTGTTGGTAGACACTGAAAGAATAATATTAGATGGTAGTTTGAGAATGTATCTTTTCCAAGTATTAAGTTTTGTGGAACAGGCGCAGACTGGATATAGGAGGGAAATAGGAAGGAAATCCGGTGTTTATTAACAAAATATAATTTATAAAGAATGATACGATGATTTATATAGAGCAAATGAGAAAAAAACTTTAAATAGCCTGATATATTTGTTAGCTACTAATGGTTTTCAAGACGTATCTGACTGGTAAAGCAATTACAATGATAATAAAGCAAGTTTAGACGCAAGTCACCTGAGTTTGGTCATCTGAGCCTATTCCAATAATCGGCTTAGATATGGAAAGCGGCTCTAGCTCTGACTTTAGCAATTGTCCTGTGGGGACGGTGGCCGCCGTCACTGCCAAAGATGGAGCATTGGGCCTCGATAGTGTTGGATTTGATGCGGAGACTTGAGCAGAACCAATAGATCCAGAGTCGGCAGCAAACGGTTCCCGACCTGATTCAGACAGGACTGGTTCGTAAACAGGAATGGGACAGAAACCAGCTTCGGAGGAAGCAATTGTGTCGCTTGTCAATAACTCCTTGGCTTGCTGGTGGAGGTGAAGGGCCATTAACTTTTCGTATAGTTCAAGAGGGTTAAAATTACCCTGAGATAAGGCTAGAGGTCTAGTGAGTAAAGACAAATTGAAAAGCAAGAGTCAGATATTTAACAAAATAGTATGTTCTGGGAAATTAAAATTCTAAAAACAGGTCCAATAGAGAAGTGTTGAGAAAAACATAAGCCATTTAATGCTTAAGTGAGATAAGGAAAATATTTAAATTTTCCTATGGAGATTGCACTCCTTTGCGTCCAACAGTGTGTATTGGCTCATCTAATCAAAGAATAAAGTAGATTTCGATAGGTATAATACGGATCACAAAAATCTGTTCCGAATTAAATATATAACAAAAAGTGAAAAATATTTCTTGACTAAGGCGATTCAGCTGAACGTCTTAAGAGAAACTAGGGTAAAATGAACATGGTGTTGAAGTTAGAAAAACGGCCGCTTTTTGAGAAATCCTCCGGATCCTAATAAAACACAACTAAATTACTATTTAAGCCTCTAAAACCAACCATATAGTGAAATATTTTCGAGTCTCATTTATAATTATACGAAAAAATATAATACAGAGGGGCCTGGAAAGAGGCTAGGGTAAATTGGGAATATAAAAATACCATTGCGACGAATAAATAGCTGGGTAAGTAGAAATAAGCCTGCTGCCGAACTACAATTTGTTTCGACAACGATATATTCCAGGCCAAATATACAGATTTACAAGTCAACTAAATCTAGTTTGCGCTATTTTTGAATGAGTTCAGTATAATTTTACTATCAGTTTATGGTTTAACTTATCCTCCTCAGTGGATGGTGTAAAAATTGAGTATATTGCACATTGGACACGGATTAATAACAAAATATAATCCTTAATTGCAAAATTAAGAGATAAAATGATTACGCAGGAAGATTAATTTCTCCATTAATCAGCGGAAAATTGTGCCTTGCCAACGAAAGGAGTCGGAGAAGGCAAGGTCGATCGGAGGGACTGAGGCAGCGAGACATCTGAAAGAGGTTGGCCACATGATCACAATTGTGCCATTCATTTTCAAACACCTGTACATGTGCCTGATAAAATAAATGAGGTAAATAAAATAACTATGCTTGTCAATAAAATGGTTAAAATTGATGTCGCGAATGTTACCAATCAAATCTATACAAAATAATACTCTTTGGCGTAGAATTCCTTCTCATGTCAAAAGCTTGCCAAGATAATTAGCGTACAGACCAGCTCGCTAAGTATAACAAGGCATGCAATTTGGCATTTTTAATGAGATAGTCTTGGTTCAGGAATTTATAGTAGAAAAAGGGAATTTATCCACGATCACGAGCGACTTCGCATATGCCAAAACCCGGACTCCAGTAGTCACTAAGGCCGTGGCTATATTGTCGAATAAATAAACCAGAAGATTAAGGGAGTACAAAGGTTTATGCAAATTTTATCAAACATTTCTCTAATATATTTAAGAGCAGGAAGTGGAAAAATATTGTAATTATGCATAATCGTAGTTTTAAAGATGTCTTAAAAGAAGATTTGAGAGGAAAAAATAACCAGGCCTATTACCAAGAGTGCGCTACGAGCGCTGCGAGATTACCAGACATTGAATAAGAATATTAGCTAACATAGGTTGCCAAACATTAAATGAGAACCGAAAGTTAAATCCAAAATGAAATAAGTAAGATTGTTAGAGGGGCTTTCATTTCGTATGTAAGTTCATGAATAAGAGATTCGTAGGTCGATCTTAACAAAGGAGGACGGATGAATCCCGTTGTACTGCAGCTATTTGGCTTTTATACGATGTTCAGGTTGATGAAGTCCGCGAGACTTCCTGCCTCGTTTCGGATAAAAACGGTTTGAGCTTTCGTCAATTATATGATGGATATCATCAGAGCTTGGTCTCATTCCTGTAAAAGTCTCACGTTAACACTAGGACAAGAAGTCTATCCGGTCTATCTTACCTCTTA